GAACGTGCGGTGAACAATCCGGCCAAAGAAACTTAGTTATGGTTGGTTTAGATGAAGATGTCTGATTGAGCAGTGCGATGAAGAAACAGTGTAACCGGACTTCTTATCTGCTCAAAAAAATGGGCTTAAGAATTTGGGCCTTGAATAATGGACGGTTTAACAAAATTAAACCAAAAAAAAAATTAAAAACAGATCAAAACAATCAAAAACACAAAAACTGAAAAAAAAAATTAAAAAAATTGGATCAAAAACACTAATTTTAAATTTTTTTTTATTTGCACTTAGTTTAATGTAAGCATTTGGCTGCATATCAGATTTCCCTTCAAAAGAACCTTGTGGACCTAGTTAAGTAATAATGGCAAATAAGTAACTTGGAAATCCCAAAACAGCTTTCCATTTTAGTGCAAAGGAGGGAGTATCTGTTCACATTTTTTTTCTTGCTTCGGGTAAAGGACTTTGTATTTTGCTTATTATCACATTTTCTAACGCAATTAGAATTCTTTTTATACGTAGAAAAACCGATAACCTTGTACTTTGCATTTCRCCCTCTGAGTCGGAATAAATATGTTTTTGAACCTCCTCCAAAAAAAAAAACATGCCACAATTCTTTGTTCAAATAAAAAAGCCACCGTTGTTCGTGACCAATTTATCTTTTGGTATAGTAAAGGAACAATACGATTATCTGATCTGGAATGTGTGTTTACCAAAGTATCAATCTTGTGTATGCTTTAATCAGGATTGGAGGCTAGAAAAGAAGTCATCTGACGTATTTGTGCCTGATAATAACATTAAAGATGATGCAAGAAGTAGCAGATTTGGTTCTACGTCAGATACAAATGTAGACGAAGAGGAACCTCTAATGGCATCTTCAAGGCTGTCATATATTGGACGTTCACAGCTTAGTAGCCGAGATGCATAATGAAGATACAACATTTCTATATTTAAAAATTAATCTGCAGGTATTCATACATGGGCAGTAGCAACGGCAAGTTGCACAAGGAAAAGAAAGTGAATTGGCAAGTAATCTTCCTTATGGAAAGCAAACAGCATATTGGTTCTTTTCCTTGTGTTGTGCAGTTACAGACCAGAAGGGGGCATGCGAAAATTGGCAACTAGTTTATTAGTTTTCAGGAGGAAACAYCAATTTATTAGAAGACACRRTTTTAATTCTCAAGTGTAAAAGATAATTTCATTGGATGTTTCAAGTCAATTATAATACCAYACATGTCTATTAGACGGACAAATGCAATGCAAAGTGTTGCTATTGGTGGGGATGAATAGAGATGCAGATGGCTTCTTTATTTGGTTTTGATGTTACTATCAAATCAACACTGTTTGCTTGTAAGTTATTGCATTTTTATGTTGTTTTAAATTATATGTTTGAGCTATTGATATCTTATCAGTTTATATTTCAATTGTAATCATATCAATTAACATAAGTTACGATTTTGGTCCCTTTGCTTTTCTTGGATTATGACTTTACAGTCTTTTTATTGCAATATTTTATCAAACACACACTGAAAACAGAAGCTAATCAATTTTAACTTTAAAATGATCATAGCATTCTCAACCACTAATGGGAAAGGATAAAACGAAGCAAAAATACATGCCATAAGAGCAAATTTCCAATAAAGAACAAATATATTTGATGTTGGATGGGAATTTTGATTTTTCATCTATTTATAAGGATGATTATGGTTTTTCTTTTTCCTATAACAATGCTTTTCAAATAAAAATAATTAAGAAAAACTTTTATGCAAAAAATAAATAATACATCAAATCTTATCGGCAAAAATAAAAATCTATGTTAGGACATAGAAACAACGAGAATGCTATCGTTCATGTACTAAAATTTTTGTTATCCTCCGTTGGTACGTTTTTTCTCTTCTTGTTCCAAAATGATAAGAGCTTAGCTTAAGGGGTTGTTTGTTTCCTCTTAATCGGTCAGAGGTTTGGACTATTTGGCAAAAAAAAAAAAAAAGTGGTTACACAAGGCTCTTAACCATTTTGAGGGTAGGACTCCACTCAACCATTCAGATTTCATTTTTTCCATCTTTGCCCWCTTCCTTCACGCATCCCCCTGGTCGCTCCCATTCGTCTTCCCCCCTTCCATTCCCGATTGCTGCACAGCCCACTTCCATCCTCTTCCGCCGGAGCGCCGGCAATAACCTACCACCAGGGTCGTCGTTCCTTTCCTCCAAGGCGCCGTCCTTCCATCTTCGTCGGTTCCCGTCCTCCATCTTCGTCGAGAGTCTCGCTTCTGTCAGGTATGTCTCTCCGTCCTTCCTGTTTTGTCGCCGGTTGCTAGTCGTCAGTCGCCGGGTTAAGAATTCTGTTTTTTGAAGATTGCTATTATGTCTCGCCGTCCTTTCTGTTGCCGGTTATCGCCTCCATATTCGTAATTAGAGATATTCCTAAACCGAAGCTTGGTGGTAGAGAGAGAGTCTGCGTGTTTGATTCATGCTTTACGGAGGAAACGTGTTTGGTTAATCTTCTTGGAAAAATAGTCTCTTCCCCTTTTCAATTTTGACCTAAATTTGCCTATTTCGTTTTGGTTTGAAGGTGAATAGGACTGCTAAATTRAAGCAGTGCAAACTTGATGTTCGTCGASAACAGTGGCTTTCTCAAGGTGATTTTTCCATGTACATGTCAGATTTACTGCAGAGTTTTGCTGCCAAAATAGCTGTTCTTGTGGATTGTATGATGCTTGATTAGTAATCCTGCAATTGATTGTTATGCTCTTGTTTTGAACTAATAATGCTACGTTTGTTTGGATTAATATGAAATATGTAGTTACATTTGTAAAGTAATTGTTTTATTCAGATATCTGCCAAACAGCTCTATTTCATTCAGTACTAAATCATTCAGAGGGTTAAAATGATAATTTATTGTCATTCAGATAACAGTTACCAAACAACATTATTTCATTCAGCACTTAACCATTCTGACCCTCTTAACCATTCTGACCTCTTAACTATTCTGCACTAAATCATTCAGCAACTGCCAAACAGCCCCTAAGACAATCAGGTGATATCCAGCCAGCCCTTGTAACTTCTGTATTCTCTCTATGCGTACGTTGAATGGATCTTTGTCGTTTCTGTTGAAATATATTGTGAATTACCAATCTTGACTTTATGTCTATTTTGTCACGTTATTTGTAGATAAGGGTTGTAATTGACAAGGGGATTAAAGCTGAAGGGTTGATGGACTGCGCCTCACTTCTGGTACCCATCACTTTTCCATTTTGAAAAGGCTTTCATCAGGGTATGCTTTTTTTTTTGACCGGCAAAGAAAAGCGAAATATTATAAAAAGACTAACAAGGCGCTAGCAAAGAGAGAGTACAGGCAAAAAACAAGACATGGGGGAGTTACACCACTCTATCCAACTATTCAACAAAAAACCTTTCTGAACCCTATTTTTAATACAGAAAAAAGAATACGCCTGAAGTTGGCCTGCGAGAAGAGAAGTCGAATTCATAGAGGAAGCTCGGAAAATTTTACGGTTGCGCAAGTTCCAGATAATCCAGAAGAACCCGTACACCACTCCGAGAAACGCCTTTTTACACATGGAATTCCCAGCCACCTCTGAGCTACGGTCCAGAAGATTGTCAATCGAGTTCACCTGTCCTATATCCACTTTCCACCAAGTGCACAGGTCCTTGAGCAGCTTCCGTGATATCGAGCATCCTATGAACAAGTGTTCCTCRTCTTMTTYGATACAATCACACAGAGGGCACAAAGAGGAGAGGCAAACCACACCTCTTTTTAAGAGATTATTTTTAGTCGGAAGCCGTTTGTGAAGCAGACGCCAAGCTAAAATGTTGATTTTTGCAGGAACCCAATTGACCCACCAAGAGGTTTGGAAGCTGACCTGATCTAACGAAGGGTCATCGTAAGAGGCTCTCGTCGAGGAGACCGAGAAGGTGCCGTGAGGATCCAGACCCCATCGCCATGAAAAGTCGATCCCGTTTGGCCTTTGTTCTCTCAGGAACCAGTCCGCAAAAGGAAGGTTGAGTTTATGGAATTCCTTGTGGAATTTTATGATGTTCCTCCATAATCCCTGGAAACTGCCACATCTAGCCAGGTTATTCAGACCCCCATCCTCTCCGTGTAGAGCAGCGATAACCCGTCGCCAAATGTGATTATGCTCAGTTTTAAATCGCCACCACCATCGTGCAAGAAGCGCTAGGTTGAGAGCTTTTAGACTACCAATCCCCAGTTTTAAAGGGAAAAGTTGCAATCTACTAGCAACTGAAACTACTTCATCATAGTCAGCCCCCACACCCATTATATTACTTTTCTGCATGTTCACCTTCAAACCCGAAGACAGTTGGAAGCAACGCAACAACCGAACCAAATTAGTAGCATTCGATCTCGACCATTCACCCATGATCAAGACATCATCAGCAAATTGCAGTATCGATAATTCAGGCCCGGAGTTAGGAAGCTTGATACCTCTGAAGATACCATTCCGAGTGGCTTCCGACATAATGATATTGAGAGTTTCTGCAGCAAGTATGAAAAGGAGAGGGGCCAGGGGATCTCCTTGCCTTACCCCCTTCTTAGAGGGAATTCTTGAGTCGGGGATCCATTGATGAGAACCGCGACCGATGCCGAACTGAGGCACCCTTTGATCCACGCCCTCCATTTCACGGCAAACTGCATTCCCCTTAGAACATCCTACAGAAAATCCCAAGACAAGGTATCAAAGGCTTTTTCGAAGTCAATTTTAAAAATCAAGGATTTGCGATTATATTTTTTTGCCCAAGATATTATCTCGCTGACGATAATGGGTCAATCTAGAATACTCCTTCCCTTGATGAAGGCCGATTGTTCGTGCCCGACAACCGAATCAAAGACCATTCTCAATCGAGATGCTAAGATCTTAGCAATAATCTTATAAAAACAATTTATCAAGCTGATGGGCCGGTACTCCGAAAAGGAGCATGGAGATTCCGATTTGGGTATAAGCATGATGAAGGAGGCGTTACATCCGTCGTCTATGGAGGCAGTGGACTTAAAATATTTGACGGCCCGAAATAAGTCTTCCTTGATGACATCCCACTGTGATCGAATGAACGCAAAAGAGAATCCATCAGGCCCAGGAGCCTTGTCTGTTCCACATTCCCAAATGGCTTTCTGAATTCCTCCAGGGAAATGTTTGATTCAAGAGAGCTCGCCTGTTCCGGAGAAAGATGTTTAAAATTATTGCACAAGAAAGGGGGTCGAATGACAGACCTGGATCGAAATCTCTCTGAGAAGAAATTGAAGGCCTCTTGTTTGACTTCGGAAGGATCCGTGACCCAGACCCCATTGGAGGATATGCCATGGATGAAATTACTCCTTCTGTTAGCATTGACAATCCCGTGAAAGAAACTCGAGTTTTCCTCCCCGTCCACTACCCATCTAAGACGCGCTTTCTGCTTGAGTTCTTTCACTTTATTCTCTTCCATAGCTTTAATTTTCATCAAAATGTCCTTTCTCGAAGAGATCTCTTCCATCGAGAGAGTGGTGTTTTCCACCTTGATATCAAAGGAATCCAACGACCTTTTCAAGGAGTTCTCCTGTTCCGTCTTATCTTTGTTCACTCCTATCTTCCAAGATTTAATTCGTAGCTTCAGATTCTTAAGTTTACTCATAAAGAATTTGATAGGCGGGCAGTAGATGGGTGAAGGGGAGGAGTTCCATGAGTCACAGACCAGTAGATTGAAATCAGGTTGACCAAGCCACGAATTGAAAAACTTAAAGTAAGTAGGATCAAAATCGACCTTGTCGGATCTAAAGAGAATAGGGCAATGGTCCGAGAGATAGCGAGGAAGAATCTCAGCACTCGGCATGGGCCACTGAGATAGGAAATTGGAAGAGACAAGATACCTGTCTAGTTTACTGTGTTTCATCCCGTCAGCGCTCATCCTAGTAAATTTCCTTCCACCGCTCCTAACTTCAATAAGCCCCGAGTCTCGGATAAAATCGTTGAATCTGTTAGTACCCAGAAACGAGAACAAGGATCCTTTTCTTTCATTGGCGTAGCGAACTTCGTTAAAATCGCCCATGATAACCTACATCGTATCCGATTTATCGATCAAAAATTGCTCAATGGCCGACCAAAGTCTGAGTTTGGAGACCGAAGATTGTGGCGCGTAAATGTTGTTGAATCCGCAAGGGGTACTAATCGACACCCATCTTCCCCAGACTGCGACAAAACCATCAAGGATAGCGAAATCATCCTTAATGAAAAAAGACGTATCCCAGATGGATAAAATACCCCTAGACATCTTTGTAGCTTTCGACGAAATAAAATCAAAAGAATCTTTACCCCAAACAGATTGGATGAATCGAAGATCTACCTCGTCCTTGAGATGTGATTCCTGAATGGCCAGGAAGTTAGCTTTATTACCGAACCTCAAATTACAAATCCAGTTCCTCTTAGCCACTGAAGATACCCCCTAGAATTCAAAGAAAGAATAATCATTGATTAACATGAACATCCCCTGCAAAAGAAATTACCTTTCTAATTTCTGCTTCACAGCCGTTCATACAGAATCCGACCATATTACCGATTTCCATAGTATCCCTAACCTCCGACGCAATGCCATCCAGCGAAGCTGTAGACGGTTCCTCGCTGATTGAGTAGGCCAGTCCGATCACGGGGGAATCTGGCGCGATCGACGGGGGAAGCTCCGAACAATCAGGTCCAACAAGAGGAGCCCTCTGATCTAAGTGAATTACTGAATCGAAAACGGAAATAGTAGGCTTGGGTTTCCTTAAAAAAGCCTGTGAGAACACAGACGTTGGCTTCAGCGGAAAGAGGGGTGTAGAGGAGGACGGTCGCTTCCTAGGTGCGTTCCTGAGGATTTGATTAGGAAATGAGTGGCATCCCGAAAAGGAGTTAAGCTCATCGGAAGAATCTGTAGCGTCCTCGGGAAAGGAAGTAACGTGACCCGGGTCTGATGCGAAGATCTCAGGATCTTGGCCCTTGTCATCCAAGATTTGAGGTGGAACGCCATTCCCATCAGAATTAATAGACAAGGTGTTGGAGACACAATTGTCTTGAGAAATAGGAACCCCATTCATCTTACCATCTTCTCTCTGTGACTCTTCTATATCCTCTTCTTCATCGGCAACTTGACTTCCCATGAAAGTTCCCGGCGACTTGAAACCGGAATGGTTATTAAGGAAAAAATCGTCATCTAGGAGTGGGTTCTCCGATCTATCTGAGAAATCCGTATCTGAAAACGAATCCGCGATCGGTTTAAAGTGATCACAAAAGTCAGGGGCAATCTTGATCGATTCCGATAAGTCCTCTGAGATGCTGATGCGATATTCTCTGTTATCAAACACCACTGAGAAGGAATCGAGGATCCTATCTGGACRCTTCGTAATAATACCCACTCTCCCAAAAGCCAAGTTCAGGTTGTTATCATTATATTCATCCGGTAGTATCACCTGTCCCCAAGGTTTCATAATGTTGGAAAAGACGTCTGGCGACCAGGCGTGCGGGGGCACCACCGTGATAATGATGGAAGCAAGACGATCTGGAACGACAAATCCCTCAACCCAAGACTCGAGCAATTCGAACCAACAACCCCACGAGGCATGCGCATTGCTGAGAAAAGAGAAGGCAGCTTCCGACGAATCAAATTCCAGAAGCACATGCAGACCCCCTAGATACCTGATCTTAATACCGTCACATCCTCCGTCTTTCATAATGGTAACGATACCCCAAAGAATCGAGGAGGATGCAACCTTACCCACCAAGGATCGACTCATCAGACGCTTAGACTCAGAAGAAGAATTGAACGATAGTCGGGGAGGAACAACGACTTTGGACGAGCCCCTAACTGCGTCTGCGAAAGTTTTTGGCACGGAGACTTGTCGCTTATCCCCACGTAAAGGCTTGGCACTTCCGAAAATCCGAGGTGGGGCGTCCCTTACAAATCTTGCAATATTGGCATAAAGCTTTTGACCTCCAACCCACATGTTATTGAGCTTACCTTCGAATCCTCTAGAGTCTGAAACTGCTAAGAACCTTGCGAATCCGAATCTGTTACCCTGATTGTTGCGTTTCTTAGCAATGTAAACATCAGATGCTTTCCCAATCCTAATAAAAATCTTCCATATGTCAGCCTCCTTGACATGATCTGGAAAGTTGGTGAAGTAAAAGTTGGTTGTCTTTCCTTTAAATAAGTCTCTCCTGATAACCTCAGATTGTTTGGAATCATTGAGTTGGTTCCTCCGCTGAAAATCTTGACGATAACTCTTCCTCCGGCGGTGACTAACCTGCTCCCATACTCCTTCTTCCACCATCCTCTCTCTATCAGAACCTAGAAACCGGGGTTCTGAATCAAAGAAAATATCATTCAACTGGCCCAAAAATCTCTCCTCCCAAAATGGAATACTCTTAGATCAACAAACTCTTCCTCTAGCACTAAAAAATTCTRCCAAAGCCTCTCTAGATACTTTAACAAGAAAGTAAAGTCAACAGACAACACTCTGAGATAATCATACTACAATCTGGCAAAGAAGATACCAACCAAAAATTGGATTMTGGATTTGGCATTTAATCAAACACTTGGTGCTCAAGCTAAACCAACCATTTGGATCAAGTGTCACATAACTCACTTGCATAATTCCAAGAATATAAGGTGAAAAGATACTGCTCAAAAACATTAATAGAAATTGTTTTTAAATGCAAAGGCCGAAGACATAACAACTCATAAGCAAACCCTAAAACCCAAATCAATCGGTCTGTCGCCTCATCTTCAAAAGAACGAAGCAAAGAAGGAAAAAAATCTCTTGATTATAAGATACTTGAACACAGAAACCCTAAATAAAGAATGTAATGGGAGAAGAGAGCTGATACACAAAACGAGCCGGCAGAGGAGGTGGATGAAGAACGTGAAGCGAGCAGCCCAAAATCCCTAAATCAAGCCGACAATGGCGGTGCGTCTCGACCTAGTACGGGAGTGGTCGGTTGTGGCCGGAGAAGTGGATGCAGGGTTGGGATTCGCCGAATAAGGGGATGGAATTGGAGGTGGAATCGCCTAAAGTAGATGGTTTTATTTTCATCAGTGTATGTTAATCTCTATATTGTAGGGTTTACATTGTTTCATAGCGTATTACTAATTTTTTTTAGATGGCTATGTTAAATTCACCAATTTTGTGTCCAAGAGGTATAACCTTGAACCCACTATTGTGTTTGAATTCTGTTAAATACTTACGATTTACGGATTCGGGTTTTTCTTTTTCCACTGTAAAACTCTGCCTTGGACTACCTCTTCCCAAAAACACTTGTTTTTGTGTTGGTGTTAACATAAACAAAGATTTTCGTGTTATAAAAGTGGTTGATGATGATGAGGATGGTCGTGGAGAAGAGCCWACACAGTCTAATTTGGACTGGGAAGATGAATTTCTAGGAGAGATTCATCCTATGAGTAAGAGAAAACAAAAAGAAAAGTCTGAATTGCTTCAAGAAACAGACTCAACGGATTGGTGTGTAAGAGCAAGGAAATTTGCTCTCAGGTCTATTCAAACCAGGGGTTTGACCAGTGCCCTGGAAGATCCTGTCACTGTTAATCTTAAGAAGAAGAACAAGAAGAAGAGCCATAACGTTAAAAAGAAACCGGTAGTTAACAAGGAAAAGCTCACCAAGGAAAGTTTGGATTTCGATTCTGATGGGGAAGATGAAGAACTGAATATTGAAGACCTTTTGTATGATAAGGACCAGCTTAAAACAAGTGTGAGTATCATGGCAGGTGGGATGTTTAAGGAAAGAAAGGAAAAAACCATGGAAACTTTTGTTGAGAGGCTATCCCATTTCTCTGGGCCACACGACCGTAGAAAAGAGATCAATTTGAACAGAGAAATTGTGGAAGCACAKACTGCAGATCAAGTATTGGAAGGGACTGCTGAGATGATAATGGYTGTTGCCAAAGGCTTGAGTCCTTCACCTTTATCTCCGTTAAACCTTGCCACAGCTATCCACCGTATTGCTAAGAACATGTAGAAAGTTTCGATGACCAGGAGTCACAGACTTGCATTTGCCCGGCGCAGGGAGATGTCTATGCTTGTTGGTATGGCAATGATGGCACTTCCAGAATGCTCTGCTCAAGGTTTCAAATATCGCATGGGCCTTGTCCAAGATCGGTGGTGAGCTCCTTTATCTTTCTGAGATGGATAGAGTGGCAGAGGTGGGCTTGAACAAGGTTGGCGAATTCAATTCACAGAATGTTGCTAATATTGCTGGTGCTTTTGCCTCTATGCAGCATGCTGCTCCAGACCTCTTTTCAGAAATATCAAAAAGAGCTTCAAATATCATTCACACTTTTCAGTCACAGGAACTTGCTCAGCCGTTGTGGGCTTTTGCTTCGCTCGTTGAGCCTGCAGACTCGATATTTGCATCTCTTGATGATGTTTACAAGGATGCCCATCAGTATAGGTGCAGCTTGGATAAGAGAACATTAAAATTCACTGAACCAAGAGGTGCAGAAAGTATCAAAGTTGAAGGCTTTCCTCCAGTTCTTGATTTCAACAGGGATCAACTTGGAAACATATCCTGGTCTTGTGCTGTTCTTGGGCAAATGGATCGGACATTCTTTTCCCATGTCTGGAAAACCCTGGGCTATTTTGAGGAGCAACAGATATCAGAGCAGTATAGGGAGGATATCATGTTTGCTACTCAGATCCAGCTTGTTAACCAGTGTCTGAAGCTTGAGTACCCTCATTCATTATTGTCTCTTAAAAGTGATATTGAGGACAAAATTATTCGTGCTGGGAAAACTGCACGTTTTAATCAGAAGATCACGTCTTCATTTCAGAAGGAGGTCGACCATCTTCTTGTTAGCACTGGTCTTTATTGGACAAGAGAATATGTTGTAGATGGGTACACCTTGGATGCTGCTTTGATTGATCTAAAAGTTGCATTGGAGATTGATGGGCCAACACATTTCTCAAGAAATTCAGGTGGGTGGTAAATGTTAGTTGGCATTCTTTTTCTCTAGTATTGTACATTGAGCTTCTATAAACCCCGGATTCTTTTTATGCTTTTTGTCAACAGGAAACCCTTTAGGGCATACAGTACTGAAACGGCGCTACCTTGAAGCTRCTGGTTGGAAGCTTGTATCAGTATCTCACCAAAAAGTGAGTTCTTTCGTTGTGTTAGCCTTGTACATGTTCTTTTCTTTTTGGGAAGGGAAATCTTCTTATTTACTATAGATATAAATGTTATGTCTCTACTCATCGTTCTTGATGCTTGATGATCAATTTAAGCCAAGAGCTTGTAAACTTTGCCCCCACTTTAACATTTTCAAGTCATTTAGTAAAAAATCGTGCAAGAAGATTTATTTCMTGAAACGAATGAYGGATTAGTTCAGGGGGCCTTTCATTATGGTCTAATGGTCCATCTCTTTTTTTACTTGATTTCCTTTTTATATTTTATGTTGTGCAGTGGGAAGAACTTGAAGGGAGTCATGAACAGCTGGACTAYCTTCGAGAAATTCTTCAAGATCACACAGCTGATGAAGCTGGAAGGTAGTAGTAGTCAAGTATCAAACCAAAACATGAGTTGATCAGTTGTTGGAAAAGCAGATCTTGTGTACAAACCATGACAACATTGTAACCTGTAATCAATTTCTCAAGGTCTATGGGTGTAATAGAAGGAAAGATTTTAGATAATCTTTTTTTCTGGAAATGCTTTAGTACATAAGCTTTGAGCATTTTTACATTTTATAAAATATATAAAATTTACAATGCAGCGAGATAAATCTTCATTTTAATGTTTAATTTTTATTATTTGTCTCTATCGATGTAATATAATTTTATGTGGTTTTGAGAAAACGATAAATTTTTTTTTTGGAATGAAATATAAATTTGAAAGAATTCGATATTAGTATTAAATTAACTATTTAATAGTTTTCGTTTTTTTATGTAACTTTTTTAATTCAATTTTTTATTATAATTTACTTTAGGTATAATAAGAAATTAATTTATTTTTGGTTTAATAATATAATTTTTATTAAAGATAATAATTAAATATTCGGTTAGAAACTCGATAATTATCCTAATTGTATTTTAGATTTTTTATATTTTAAAATAAGATGTTTATCTTATATTTGATTATGTTTATCCGTAGTTAGTTACACGAATTCAAAGATGGAACTTTAATAAGTTGTACTTAAT